CACCTGGAGAGCTTTTTTTTTTTTTTAAAGATTTTATTTATTTATTCATGAGAGACAGAGAGAGAGAGAGAGGCAGAGGGAGAAGCAGGCTCCCAAGGAGCAGGGAGCCCGATACAGGACTCGATCCCAGGACCCTGGGACCATGACCCGAGCCGACGGCAGACGCCCAACCATCTGAGCCACCCAGGCGCCCGTCGAGAGCTTTCAGAGCTACATCCATGTCCAATCCCCAGAGATCCTGATGCTACAGTTCTAATCTCCGGATCAATGCCGCTCGAATTTTAATGTGCATTGGAATCATCTGAGGATCTTGTTAAAATGGAGAGTCTGATTTAGAAGGTTTGGCGGGGGGCCTGAAAATCTGCATTTCAACAAGATCCTAAGTGATGCTGATACCACCGGCCTGTGGCTCACATTTTTGCAGCACAATCTATAGCAGAGCTGCTCCGAGGGTGGTCTCTAGACCACCAGAATCAGAATCGCCTGGTAACTTGAGAGAAATGCAAGTTCTCGGGCCCCACCCCAGACCCACTGAATCGGAAACTCCGGGGGTGGAGCCCAGTCCCCTGTGCTCGAACAGCCTCTGGTGATTCTGACGCAGGCTGAAGTTTGAGAACCACTCTTGTAGAGAATCTGACCAGCCAGAGGGAGGGGAGCTGATATTTGCTTTAAGGACGAAGTAATGAATTATCGTGCAAGTAAGACAGAAACAAAGATCAGGTTTTATTCTATTTACGTTACAGTTATGAACAAGTATAACCATTATAAGAAAATTAAGACATAACTTTGTAAACTTGAAATCTGCCCGTCTTCACTTTTTAAAAATAATCCTTTTTTTTTTTTTTAATCCCCATATCATCACAAGTACTAGAAATTCTTAGGGACATTTTCGAGACGAGCACACTCCCTGCAAAGATGGGAGAAAGGAAACGTCAAACCGTGGCCTTCCCGGCTGCCCGCGGGGCGGAGCTGGTACGGTCGCCGGAAGCTAAGGCGGCAGCGCCTGGCGCTGGGGCTTGAGAACGGGCAAAGGGATGCTGGCCGCTCTGAGGCCACGATGCTGCTGGGGCTCCTGGCCCCCAGAGGTGCTGCCCCTGGTAATGTCACTGCTCCGGTGTCACGCTCTGCCCCACAAGTGCGCTACGCCTGGGTGACAGTCCATAACTGCTCCCAACTGGACTCCCAGGCTCAGCCTCCCCCAGCCGTGCCCGGTCTGTTCTGCGAGCTCCAGCCCCTGGGGACATCAGTGCCCTCCGCCCCCCCCCCTCCCGTCCCTCCGAGGCCCCTACTTGACTCCCTTCAGCCCTTTTGCTGCTGTTTTGCATCCTCCCTTGTGTTGTCTGGTAGCTCAGATCACACATCGCAGCCATCTGTCCATCTCTGTCCCTCACTGGGGTGCGGATCCCTGTCCCCTCCCTTGTGGCCGGTGTTCAACATACATTGTCTCCCTGGGCAGGAGATGCCAAGGGGAATAAGACATGGCTTGTCTTCAAACCCTGGGACCCAGCCATCTGCCAGGGAACATACTGGGTGCTGTGAGAGAGAGTCACACAAAGCCTTGCGCCACGGCCCGTGCACACTTGGCTCTCCTGGTCCGCCTGGCACTTTTTAGCCCTTATTTACACAGGTGTCGGTTATTCTTTAAAAAGTGTGGGTTGTTTCCCTAAGAAGGGGCCAGGTAGAGTCTGTCTCTGTCACTTCCTTATAGCTTACGCAGAGCAGGGGACACGCTGAGCGCCAGGCCACAGAGCACGCCCTTGCTCACCGACAGACGCTCCCGCGCTCCCAGGACTGGATGCTGACTTCTGAAGGCGGCTCAGAGCCGATCCCATCTATGTAATATTTAAGAATTCAGAATCTTCAGCAAGTTGGCTCACGGGGCGCCTGGGTGGCTCAGTCGGTTGGGCATCTGTCTTTGGCTCAGGTCATGATCTCAGGGTCCTGGGATCGAGCCCCGCATCGGGCTCCCTGCTCAACAGGGAGCCTGCTTCTCCCTCACCCTCTCCCACTCCCCCTGCTTGTGCTCTCTCTCTCTTTCTCTGTGTCAAATAAATAAATTAAAAAAAAAAGTTGGCTCACAGTGAAAAACTGCCTTGCATCTATGTTTATTTAGTCTTTTCAAAGCTCCCCTTAAAACACTCAACCTGCACAACCATGAACATTTATGTCCCCAACGCTTCCACATGCTGGTGAGCGTTACTGTTACATAAGTAGAAATGGTCAGGAGCAGCCGTGTTCAAACATTTAAACATATTGCCCTCTAATGTCCCATTGAGGGCTTGTGCAGGGGACTCTAGGTTCCCAGGTGGTATTGTGCAATAGCTTCTTTGAACATTTCCTCAGAAGTAGAAATGTCACATACAGAAAAGGGAGGAATGTATGTCTCTGTGAGTAACACCACCGTGATATTCTGCACGCCCATCTGATGTAGGTGATTTTATTACCCTGTGAGCGAAATCTGGGTTAGTCTGGATGACACGATTACACATTTCAAACAAGATAGTGCCATTAGAAAGGAGATTGACTTGGACGCCATGACACGGACTTATCTTTCTAGCGCGTTCGGTCATACACTTAGCCTTTGCTTGGTAAATATTTGCCATGTGAATGAATGAAACACAAACCCTTCCCCAAGGCTGATGCCTCACCTAACAAAAGCATTTTGGGCTGCAGACAGCAGAGAGGGTTCAAGAGAACCTTGCAGGGACGCCAGCACATGGAGGGTGTGGGGAGTGGCCCTGGGGAACAGCCTCAATGACACCATCCCTGGGGAGAGGGAGGGGGGCCCAGGACCGAAAACCACACTCTCCAATGATCCCTGACCAGCCACCCTGGGTCTTCCGAGGAACCCCCCTCTTGTTACAGAAGGACGCTCTCTGCTGGGGTAGAGAACAATTTTAGATATGAGAACAATTTTTCAAATATTCTTGACCAAGACCCACAGTAAGAACACATTTTATTTTGTGAACCAGGAAAGACACGGGCTAATATATAGTGGAAACAAGTTTTACAACATAACAGTTCTCCTTACCACACGTGAAGGCCTGGTTTCTCTATTCTGTTCTTGCCCCACTCCTTCCTGTTACAAAAAAAAAAAAAAAAAAAGTGACAGAGTCCACTGATTTCACAGTCCATTAATGAGTGAGGCCAGCATTTCAGAAACAACTGCACAGTGACCTGCAGGAGGGATGGGTTTCAGACCCTCCCCCTCAGGTACCCAGTGGTGAAGGAAGGGGTATCCTCCCCACTCCCACACACCTGGGAACACAGTTAGGTCACAGAGAAGTGGGATATAAATCCCTCTCTTCTGGAATCTCACCGAAAAAGCTCAAAGGAGAGGTCTTTGCTTCTATAGCTCTATTACACTTAAGATACCAGTAAGGTTTTTAACCATGACCTTCCACAGGGAAGAGGCCTCATCTGACTGCCCCACGGACGAACTCCCATGAGCAGATAGACTGCGTGCAGCAACAGCTCCAGCACCTCCTATGAAGGGCCGCCAAGCCAAAGAGTGGCCGGGGCACGAGGCTGGCATGTCCCCCTGTGAGAACCCTGCTGGCTCCAAGTGTTCCTCAGTCCACCAGGTTGCAAAGAGTTCTTGAGGAGGGAGGATGGGGAGATGGTTCTGGGACAAAAGAAGTCAAGGATATGCTGGGTGGGACAGCTTGGGGCCTCTGATGTGATGCGTGCTGTGGTGACTCCACAGAGTCCTTTTTGCGAGTAATCACCAAATACCTGCCATGTACAGTTTGGGGACTGCCGCCCCAAGCGGCCACTATCTACTTGTCCCTCCACTTGGCAGGGACACAAAGCAGACGAAAGACTTCTTCTCTGCTGTCCCAGTTGAGGGCAGGACCAGGGTGTCAGGACCCTTCACGGGGACCTGAAGGCATCACTGTATTTGGTCGGTCAGTGTAAAAGTGACAGACCTTTGTCAGCACGCTGAGTGGACTCTCTATGGATTCACCGTCTGTAGTTTACAACAGAGACTCTGTGCCCTGCCCGCCTCCAGGGGGCGCCATTCATACAGACAGTGGAGTCAATGAGGCCCTTTGGGGGGTGGGCAGCAGCCCTCTGAAAACAGGTCTGTGTTTTAAACTGTAAAACACAAAACAGTGACAGACTTGTTGGTCAGAACGTCGGACACATTCTCTTTCAGCCTTGAGTACATCCATTGACTCCTGTGTTTTGTAGTAAGAGCAGCGACTCAGGGCGGGAATGGGTAAGAATCTAGACTGGCGCTCAGACTCACACCCACCCTGGGACATCGAAGACTCGATTCCGTCACCAGTAAAACAGGAATGATGATAATACGTATCCCACCAAGCTGAGGCAAAAAAGGCACAATAACGATCTTTATAAATGTCATTAGCAGTCACTTTGTAGGGAAGCCAAGCCCTGCAGTTTCTCCCTGCCCTCAGGCTTCGGTGCCCGGGGTGCTGCCTCGAAGCCATGGCACTGGGCAAGCCAGGGGGCAGTCTCAGGGACAAGTGGGCTGCAACACACTTGCTGATAAACAGCAGTTCTGAAAGACGGTATTGTCCCTCAACTCTTATGATTTGTTCTCAGCCAGGAGTGAGGTGGGACCCCTGAACATTGGCCTTTACCCACAATTCCTTTCACTTGCTTCCAAAAAATTCTGCTACCTTATGTAGGCATTAAATAATTTCTTGAATAAAAGCTCTAATTATCCTGGGCTCCTTGTATATGCACCATTACATGTATATCCAGAACATGAAAATACAAATACACCCCTGATCTCAGAGGTGACAATTCTCATGGCAGCATCTCTCTCTGACTCATTAACCAGAAAAGGAGCAATCATATTTCCAAAGTCTAGGAGAACGAAAACTTAGAAAACCTCCCCAGAGCACATTTTGTGTTGTGGGATTTCCCGAGGCTGAAATCAACGTCCTTGAGGGCTATGAGGGAGGTGGTTAAATTGCGTACCTTGGTTTTTTTCAAAAAAAAAAATCATGCTGACCAAGTTGTCGATCAATTTGCAAAATGCCGACCACTCTTCCCAATTCTTCCTAATGGCATCAGTTCCCCACTTGCAGTCCTTCTTTCCCTACAGACCTGTTTTCCCTGAGGTCCCCACGTTGGGGGAGGAAGCCACTTGCTTGGCCATGCTGGTTGATGACGTCTGTACTTTGGTGCTCGGCTCCGTGTAGCCAGCAGTATCTCCTCCTGTGTCCCCCTCCATGTCCCTGCTTCTGCAGAAACTTCTCTGTCTGGACTGTCTGGCCAGCAGCAGGTTCCAGGCCGCTGCTCTGTACTTCTTGGAAATGAGGTTGTAGAGGATCGGGTTGATGGATGCACTCAGATAGAAAAGTTGCAAAGCAACAATGTTAAAGTACTGAGAGAAGTTCATCATCCGAGAATCTTCTGTATTTATGTAAATGATCCTGCCCACGTGAAAAGGCAACCAGCAAACTACAAATGCCAGAACCACCACCACTGCAAAACAAGACACAGGCACCGGAGTTAGCTAAAGCATCCGAAAACAAGCCCCCCCCCCCCGAAACCATCCGAAATAATAAGTAACAACAAACAAAATGAAAAAAAATTTTACCCAGCCAAATCCCACCCCAGGACAACTACCAGGCTGCAAAGAGCACTGACATTTGCTTTAAAACTGCATATATGCGTTATCACGGCTGGACATAAACCAGAAGGAGAAATTGCTACTAACAAGCTGTTCTGGCAGGCTTCCTTCCACAAACCTATTTCAGAGACATGTTCTCTGTATTGCATTGAAAAGAATTCTGCAACAGGTCTGCACAATTTTTTGTTTTGATATGGGCATGGTTCACTTTAGCCTGCAGGATAACTTAAGTTTTTTTTTTTAAAAAAAATTTTAGCCTAATGAGCTCTACCCCATGTTCTCAAAGGTACTATGAGTAATTCACATCTGTGGCATCTAACAGAGACAGGCGTTTGGTTTCCCCATCCTGGATCAGCCCGGCTCACGGATCCAACGGCTTAGCGGACCCAGGCATCCCACCAAATACCACACTCCTCGGGGGCGCCCTGGGGTTACCCAGAACTATCAGAGGACTGGAGATGGTTTTCTCTGGAGACGGGCAGGACCGGCAGGTGGAGGCTGGAGCAAAATGACTTAAGGAATTGTAGCTAGAAGAGGCGTGGGGAGACGAGGGGAAGGAGACGCTGCCTGGACCGCGGGCTGGCGCGTTTGGAACAGAGGTGGCGCCACTTACGCAGGACGCGGACCGTCTGCCGGTGGCCCTTCTCGCGCCCGGAGGCGGCTGGACCTCGCAGCGGGCCCCGGCTCCTCCACAGCTCCCGCCCGATGAGCCCGTAGAGGACGCTGAGGCACAGAAAGGGCAGGAAGAAGTAGGCGGTGGTGACCCACAGCATGACGCGCAGCGCGCCCATCTGAGACGGGCTCGGCCGGCACTCGCGACTGAACAGCGCCGCGGCGGCCGCGACCTCCGCGGCCTCGGGCCCCGACGGCGGGGACAGCGGTGGCGCCAGCGAGGCCCCGAGGGGCGACGGCGGCGGCCAGGTGCGGGGCGAGGGGGTGAGCGGCGCGCTGCCGTTAAGGTCCGGGACCGCGTCGATGCCGGGGTCCTGCTCGACGCCCACCAGAAAGAAGAAGGGCCCTGCGGAGAGCAGCGCCACTGCCCAGAGCGCCGCGATGAGTGCGCGGACGCGGCGCCGGGTGACTAGGACGCGGGCGCGGAGCGGGCGGCAGATGGCGAGGTAGCGCTCGACGCTGAGCGCCGTCATGTGCAGCAGCGTGGCGTAGGTGCAGCCTTCGCCCACGTAGAGCGAGAGGCGGCAGAGCAGCTGCCCGAACACCCAGGGCCGCGAGCGCCAGAGGCGGTACAGGTCGAAGGGGAGCCCGAGCAGGATGAGCAGGTCGGACACGGCCATGCTGCCCAGGTACAGGTTGGTGGTGGTCCGCATGTCCCGGTAGCGCCCGATCAGCAGCACCGTCACCACGTTGCCGCTCACCCCGACGGCGAACAGACCGAGGCACACGGCGGTCACCGGCACCAGCGCCCCCAGGGGAAAGGGCGAGCAGAGGCGCTCGTCACAGGGCAGCGGTGCGCCCTCCGCGCCGTCGCTGCGGTTCCAGGGGCTGCCCATGGACGCGCCGCGCCGGGCGGACGCGAGGACACACGCTCGGCGCCCGTCGGCGCCGTCGCACCCCCGGCTGGCCCCGGGGACCGAGCGCAGGGCCCGGCTGGCGAGGCGCTTCCTCCGGCAGCCCGCGCGCAGCGGCTCAGCGGCTCAGCGGCCCCCGTCCGCACCGCCCGAGCTCTGCGGCGCCGCGCGCGGGGACGCGAGTCTGCAGGGTCCGCTTTGAGGCCCTCCCAAGCGGGCGACGCTCAGTCTCCGCCCCCGGCCGCCGCCCGCCCCACTCCCGCACCCTCTCCTCCGCCCGTCGCGTGCCAGGGAGCTTCCCTCCCCGCTAACTGGAACACGGGAGGCGGCCGCGGCGCACGAGTCCGACCCCGTCCAGGGAAGCGGTTGCTGAACCCCGGTGAGGTGGGTTCCTGACCCCATAGGAGCGCGGGCGCTCTGGCCGCTCGAGTACAGAGGGGGACCTTCTCGGGGACCTCGGCTGGTGGCTGTGTCCAGGCGCTTAGGAAAGGCTGCCCCCGTACTAACAGGAGAGGAGTTTAGACAGGAATCCAGAGTGCCTCCCGGGTCTAGTTACGACTCTACAACCGAGTGATCTTAGACCAGTCCCAGCCGCGCCCAGCCCAGGTCTCCTCTTCTGTAAGTTTTCAAGTAGGAGTGGAGGGACTTGAGCAAGTAATTTCATCCATCCCTTAAAACCCTGAAATCGGTGGGCATGACCATGTCTACTGGTTTTAAAGAACAAGGGTGAATGAAGTATTCACGTGTGTATTTGCGGGCTTACGTGTGTTGTATTGTTCCTATGTACAAAATATTTTATGAACAAAAAAGCAAAGTATTTGCCAACACTAGGAAGAACTAAAATTCTGGGGAAAAGACTAAAACTGATTTATGAGTCAGTTCATTGCGGTCTTAATGACAATAGCTGACCCTTACTGAGTGCTTAGGGTGTGGCCCTTTGCTTTCCATTTAATACTCATGTCCTTGGGAGCTCATTTCACCCCTGAGCAAAGTGGGACTTGCTTGTGATTTTATCTCCTGATAAAATACACACCACACACACAGGAGTCTTGCAATGCCTCGGTGTCCCTGTGGATGAGCTGGTCCTCCAGGGCATCTCAGGCATCGACTCCTGAGGGCGTCCGTCACACCGTATCATTGCCAGGACCTGCCAGCCCTCCTGCATCTCAGCCTCAGTCATCGCCTTTCTGACCTCCACCCCTGGCTTTCTAGCTCACTTTCTCTAATACCTCAACTCCTGCAATCCTCCACGCACCCTGGGACCTCAGATAGGTTGGTCCTCCTACCTTTTCCTTGTCCCTCACCTGCCTCAAGTCCTCAGTTCCCTACTTGACACAATTTAAACTCCCAATAAGCAATCCTAATCACTCCCAGGCAAACACCCTCAATCCTGTGCTCTTTTCTCTGTTGTCATACCGGTCCCCTTGACAAGAACATAACCACACCCCTGGTTAAGTCGAATCTTCTGCCTACTTGTGCACCCTCCCAAATAGCTGTTGAGTTGTCTCACTTGAAATTCACCACCTCTGGCGTGGCTCTTCATTTTTCCTTGGCTATCCTCATACTTACCTATTCCATCCACTCTCCCACCCTCCAGACCACTCTTTTGTGCAGCTTCCTCTCTCCCACCCGCCTCCTCTCTTTCCCGCACCCCCCAGGTGCAGGTGAATGAGTAGGTGGGACTTGTACCTGAAGTCAGCTCTGACTGACTTCTTCCTTCACCTCCTCAAGGACCTCACTCTAGCAATTTTCTCTTGCATCTTCAGAGTTTCTTCCTCTTCTGGATCATTTCCATGTATCCAGAAAAACTCCTCAAAAGAGTGTGTATATTCAGCATCTCCACTTTTTCTCTCTCCCTCCCTTTACCCCCAAACAAAGAAAATGCAATTTTGTCATCTGTTGTTGATCTGATTTTCCCTTGAGCGTTCACTGTCTGGGGAGCAAGAGAAAATTAGCCTGAATAAAGCCTAGTTCAGTTGGAAGAATGGAACCGTCCCTCTGTGTGGTGGTCCGTTCTGGATAGCATGCTTATCTCACAACCTCCTCTTCCTTCCCCGCCTTTCCCTAGGGGAGCCCAGGTGTTTGGGAGGGGAGGTCAGGGAGCTTAAAGATCCTTATGAAATAAAACGGAGGGGATCACCTAGCTTCGTATGGGTTCTTGGGGTGCCCCAGGGTTGGCATTTGCCACATTCCAGTTGCGTGCCCCCTTCTTGCCTGGCCACCAGGTGCTCTGCTAACCCCAGAGGAGAGGTCTGTGGTTAGTGAGTTTGTGGTCCCTTCTTTTTTTGACTCAAGGGATGCTCGCTGGAGTACCTGACACCTTCCCCTTGGCTCTCGCGGCTGCAGTCCCTGAGGTTCTTCCCTTTTCTCCATTCTGCCCCAGAGCTTGGTCTACCCAACCTCTGCTGAAGGCTCCTTGCTCCTTTCCCCACCCACCATGGCAGCCCGCGCCATGCAGGCTCACAAGGGCCACTACACCATCTCCTACTATTCTGTGTACGCGTCCTCCATTCACACACCCCCCTTTTTTGTGGTATCCTCTCTACACTGCTTGTTACCACCTGCCCTACTATTTAGTCTACTTAACTCTTTGTTATCTGCCCTGCCCCTTCCCCTCCCGACACCCCGTTGTCCGGAAGGCTGGGCTGTGATCTGTTGTGTGCCATGCTCTTTCCCTAGTGTCTGGATCAGTGCCTGGTACAAAGTGAGAATTTAATAAATATTTGTTAACTCAGGGAATGGATAAGCTTCTGCAGAACCAGGTACCATTATTTTCTTTACAATTCCCAGTGATTGAGAACAGTACTTTGATTATAGTGGGTGTTCAGCAAGTGTTTGTTGATATCCAGATTCCAGATAGGATACTGATATGGAGAGATGGGTTCACCCCAGGCTTTTCTCCATCATGATGCTGCGACTCAAGCAGGACGTGGTCTGTTGGGCAGATCTGAATCCTTATTATAATGGCCTGGCGGTCCGTGTTTTAGGAAGAAATGGGATGAGCTATCTGGAGAATGACTAAATCTGCTTTCTACTTTGTATTTCTAAGGTTATGCACCAGCTTACTGACTTCATATTTCATCTGATGGGAGGAAGAGGAGGTCATCAGGTGTGTGGACACCTCTCCCCTCTCCCTTATGAGTGTGTCTGCGCCTGGTACTTGTGTCAGGTGAGAACGAGGCCAGGTCTGGCCCTGCTATGGCTGTGTCCCTGGAAGCAAGAGATTGGTATCATCGATAGGCCCTTGGCCCTTGGCTGGAGGCCTCATAGGTTGGCTTTTTGGCGGGCTGGGATGTCCTGACTAAAAAGAAAGCTAACGCTGGTAGTGTGCAAGGCGCTGTCCCAAGTATTTGCATATTTTAACTCATTTACTCTCCAATAACTGTATTATGAGGTGGGTCCTTTCAGTACACCATTTTATTTTATTTTTATTTATTTTATTTTTTTTAAAGATTTTATTTATTTATTCCTGGGACTCCAGGATCATGACCTGAGCCGACGGCAGTCGCCTAACCAACTGAGCCACCCAGGCGCCCCATTTTATTTTATTTTTAAAAGATTTTATTTTTAGGTAATCTCTACACCCAACGTGGTGTACTTACAGCTCCGAGATCAAGAGTGTCATGCTCCACCAACTGAGCCCGCCAGGCGCCCCTCAGTATGTCCCTTTTACAGGAGAGGAAAACAGCACAGGGAAGCTATCTCTGTAAGCAGAGTTACTGTCTGTTTTCACGTCCAGGAGCCACAGCCACTGTGCCCTGAGGCCTCTTGCTGTACACACCACAGCACTACCAGCCTTAGGAATGGTTGACATGTTCTGGATTCTGCTATGAAAGTGTCTTTTAGCTCGTATTCCAGATATGAGCTGGACAAATGGAAGGATACAGAAAGTTTTAAGGAGCATTAGGATACATCCATAACTTGCAATTTACCTGTTGACATTTGTAGAAACTCCACAGGTTTAATACTCCCTTCTCCACAGAAGAGCAGGATGGGAGGCAGAGGTTGAAAGCTGAATGCACACAGCAATTGACCCACATTTCATAACGTTTTGCACCAACATTATATAGTTGGGAAATCTCCCATGACGTTCCAGCTTTTCAGCTTGTCTTGCAACATGGTAAGGTCTGGCAGCTCTGGCCCACATTCCCCAAAGGTGGTGGCAATCCAGGCTGAGCAGGGCCTGCTGTGTTTAGACAGACACCCACTCAGTGGGCACTCCACAGCCTTCATCCCTCACATGGTGGCTCTGTGGGCCCCACACCCAGAGCCTTTGTCACTTAAAGACCTGCTGGCTCCTATAGACGCCACATCCCAGGAAATTGGCACTTTATTTAATAAAATACAGAGATGGCAGAGCTCTGCCCTGGAAGGGGTGCGAACCCCTGGCAGAAAAGGCCGAGGGCCGGCTCTGGCTGGCCCTCATCTCCAGAACCCGACCACCACCTTGACCCCGGGCCTCAGGCTCTCCCAGACTTCTCTCTGCACAGCAGGGACATGGCAGGGAACATTCAGGCAAGACTCTGTGGGCTGCAGAGATTCCGGATATGCCGTGATTGTTGCTGCAGCAATTTTCTCTTGGTCCTAGTTTCTCCTAAGAGAGACAGGCTCCCCCTGGCAATGATTATCAAGGGTGGTGGTGGAAAGAGAACAAGTCCCTGGGAAGGGTGGCCGGGAAGAGGGTGTAGGACTTGGGGAAAACCCTCCTGGAGATTCCAGTACCCCTTTCCCAGCCCCAGTGGCTAGTCCCTGGTCCAGAAGGACCGCCCCGGCTCCCAAGCTCACCCCGGGCCCAGCTGGGCTCCCCCGGCCGTGCCCTCTCTGCCACGCTGTTGTCGGTGGCATCTGCACCATCAGCCACAGGAGCGCACTTAGAGAGCTAAGCCCCTCTGCTTGAAGTGTTGTACCGCCCTCGAAGCTAAGGAGATGCTGAGACATAAGCCACACTTCTCCGGGCTCCTGTAATAGCAAAAATCTCAGCA